AGGGTGGGGGCAACAGCAGAGAGGGCCCTCCTCCTGGCCCCAGCCAGCTGACATTCCCTCGCTGATGGGGCCCACAACATGCCCTCTCTGCCTGACTGGGTGGGATGCGTTGATGTGATGGGGGTGAGACGGTCCCTCAGGTAACCTGAACTCATGCCATGAAGGGCTTTAAAGGTAATAACACCTTGAATTGGACCTGGAAGCAAACCGGGACCTAATGTAGCTCCTGCAGTAAAGGGTACCTAAGACTGTCTGCGAGGCTGCATTTTGAACCAGCTGTAGCTTCTGGATACTCTTCAAGGGTAGCCGCATGTAGACCACATTCCAATAGTCTGAGAGATGACCAGGATGTGAATGGAGAGCCTCTGATCCAGGAAAGAGCATAACTGGCGCACCACCTGGTTGGGCAAAGGCCCTCCTGGCCACAAGTGCCACCTGCTCCTCAAGCAGGAGTTGTGAGTCCAGGAGGATCCCCAGATTACTCATCAGGTCTGTCTGGGGCAGTGCAATCCCACCCAAAACCAAAAGATGGTAAATCCTTGGATACAGAGGGGCTTCCAATCCATAGCCACTCTGTCTTGCCAGGGTTCAACCCCATATAGACCCCCACAGCCTCCAGGCACCGCAAAAGAGTGGTCACAGCATCACTCACGTCACCCAGGATGGAGATGTATAACTGGGTATCATCTACATATTGATGATACCTCATCCCATGGTGGCAGATGATCTCACCCAGTGGTTTCATGTAGATGTTAAAAAGGACTGGAGAGAGTACTAAACCCTGCAGCACCCAACAGAGGAGGGGCCGCAGGCTGGACCTCTTGCTCCCAATCAACACTGATTGGGACTGACCTTGGAGGAAGGGAGAGAACCAGTGCAAAAATGTGCCGCCCACTCTCAACTCCCTAAGTCAGCCCAAAAGGATACCACGGTCAATGGTATCGAAAGCCGCTGAGAGGTCAAGGACAGCAAGGATGGATGCAGTACCCCCATCCTGCTTCCACCAGAGATCATCCATGAGTGCAACCAATGCTGTTTCTGTCCCATATCTGGGCCTGAAAACTGACTGGAAGTGGTCCAGATAATCTGTTTCCTCCAGGATCCTCTGGAGCTGCAATGGCACCACCTTCTCCACCATCTTCCCTAAAAAGGGGAGGTGGGAGACTGGACGAAAATTGTCCAGTATGGTGGGATCCAGTGATGGTTTGAGGAGGGGATGCACCAGTGCCTCTTTAAAGGCAGCTGGAAACACTCTCTCTCTCAAGGATGAATTCACCATCACCTGGACCCACCCACATGTCATCTCCCAAGCAGCCTTGACCAGCCAGGAGGGACATGGATCTAGTTGACAAGTGGTGGCACTGACCATCCAGAGGACCCTTCCACTTCCTTGGGTTCAACAGGATCAAACCATTCCCAGATAACAGGGTATGACCGTACCCTGGGGATCTCTACAGACCATGTCTCATGCTTGGCATCCAACTGCAACTGGATCTGAGTGATTTTATCCTCCAGATGCCCAGAAAATTTGGCCACCATTTCCCAAAAGGGGCCAGGTGATCTTAAACAGGGCCGCTGGATGGCATTCTGTGGATGCAATAAGAGCAGAGAAATATTGACATTTCGCCACCCTTACTGCTACAAGGTAGGCCGTAATAGTGGCTCTAGCGTGTGTTCAGTTGGGTTCGGTCCTTGTTTTCCTCCAGTGGTGCTCTAGCCATCTCTTAACCCTTTTCAAGACCCTCAGCTCCTCTGTAAACCATGGGGAGTGTCGGACTTGATGGGTCAAGAGAGGTCGCATGGGCGCGATCTTGTCCAAGGCCTTGGCCATTTTTCTATTCCAGTTAGCGGCCAAGGCCTCCACTGACTATGCAGCACACTCTCGGGTATAACCGCCAGCTCCCTTTGGAACCCCACTGGCTCCATCAGTCGCTGGGGGCGGACTGATTGAATGGGTCCTGCCTCCCTGCAGAGGGGGGTAGCATAGAGAATACCAAAGCCACCAGACATGATCTGACCATGACAAGGGGGACAGATATAATTCCTCCTTCAGATCACATTGCCACTGCTCTGACAAGAAAACCAAGTCCAGTGTGAGACCACTGTCCCAAGTTGGGTTGTGAATAATCTGGGACAGGCCCATGGCCGCCATGGTGGCCATGAACTCCCGAGACACCTCTGAGGCACACCCTAGAGATGGCAGATCAAAGCCCCCCCAAGACCATAAGTCTGGGGAACTCTACTGCAGCCCCGCAATGGCCTCCGGCAGCTCAGGCAGGGAAGCTGCTACACAGCAGGGAGGCTGGTACAGCAACAACAATCCCAAACTTCAGGAACAGGATCTCACAACTGGTCACTTGTGGAGCAGCACCCCTGAAAGCCAACAGAGATTCTTGGATGACAGCTGCTACCCCTCCTCCCCTGCCCTGGGGTCTCGGCTGGTGCCAAACCAAAAACCCGGCTGGGCACATTTCTGAAAGGGGCACCCCCCTCTTCAGGGCCCAGCCAGGTCTCGGTGATACACGCCAGGTCAGCCCGCTCCTCAGTGATCAAATCACATATAAGAGGGGCCTTGTTGTTAACTGACCTGGCATTAAGAAGCAGCGGCCAAAAGCCAGGGCCTCTGTAGGTCTGCTGCCCAGGGCCTGGGCTGAGTCCAGACAGCCGGAACACGCCACTGGTAATAAACACCAGGGGCATCTTCCCTGAGAGCAGCCCACCCTCTGACTCCCATCATAACATCCTCTCCCCATCAGCACCTGAATGGTATAACCCACCCTAACCTCCTTTGAGCTTCTATTTGCCCCCAATCCCAGCCCTCTGGTTTCCAATGGCTAGGTGTCCCTCCATCCACCCATACATCAACAGCCACACCCAATCAGGCAGGGGGTGGTGGCGAGTTCCCTGGCACTACAGCTCCAGTTCTCAGAACCACTGGAACCCTAACCCTCCCCCTTCACCCACTGTGCTCCCCTTACCGGCTTCTCCCACTAGTCAGCAGGGGGCACTCAACCCACCCCTACTCCCTCCCCAAGTCTCACACACTCACACACGCTCTACACATCCACCCTTGGACTCCCCTCCCCATCTCTCACACTGGGGGGGGGGGGGCGCGGGGGGGGTGGGGGGAGGGGCACCTAGCCATTTGAAACCAGAGGGCTGGGATTGGGGGCAAATAGAAGCTCAAAGGAGGTTAGGGTGGGTTATACCATTCAGGTGCTGATGGGGAGAGGATGTTATGATGGGAGTCAGAGGGTGGGCTGCTCTCAGGGAAGATGCCCCTGGTGTTTATTACCAGTGGCGTG